TGTATAGGAGGATGCAGAGAACATGCAGGTGTAGACAAACGGTTCTAGCTTTCTACCTGCACAGCACACACACATTATTTACCATCTACCCATGCTAACATCCTCATTCCCCAACAGAATACTAAGAAAATCAAAGTCATAACTCTGACAAAATGGTAGTTTTGAAATGAAATTTAAAATTTGTGGTACAAATAATAACTTCTAAAATCTACTTGCATTTGTTATTTTCCTGCCCCTTATCCTCTCGCTATGAGAAGCAGCTGTCTACTTTCCCTACACATCAAGCCAGCTATTCTGTCTTCAGCAGAACATACACAATGACAACAAAAAACAAAAAAGAAAGTGAAATTACTGTTGTCAAGCAGACACACAGTGAGTGAAGGATGGTGTACAGTATCAAGGAAATGGAAGAGAAAATGAGAATGTAATTATCTTGGTTAGTCTGCATTTAGATAGCCTGAAACAATAGCATCAAAGAGAGATGTAGATTTCCCCCTTCATCTTCATGGTGTATTAACTGCAAAGCATAATTCTGACAAGTGTAGTGCTAATAGTGCTAACTGTTCCATTTCTGAACAATATAACACAGAGATCCATTAGAGTACTACTTCATTACTGTTGGGCTTACTTGATATGTATGAATGCTTCGTTCATCTTACATAATTAGAAAATATTTCTGGAGCCTCAAAATGTCTAAAACCAGACAGTCACAAGGGACAATTGAGAGTCAAGCACAAAATTGTTGCTTTCAGATCTCATTCCTAGACTTTCACCTAAACAGCTCATTGATCTCTGATAATGTTTCCTTGTCATAATACTGCTTTCCCACTGCAAAAGAAGGCTGAGAGCTGCAGAATTCCTTTCCCGCCTCTCTGATCTTCTTATAAGGGATCTTTAAATATTTATGTCAAAGTGAAGAGAGACTTTTCAAACATCCAGGGAGGCTGCACCATTGATAAGGAAGAATGTCACACAATTTCAGCCCCGAGACAAGGGGGAAGGCACCGTAACCACAGAGCTGAGGCTTCTAAACAATTCTTATCTTGTGAGAGGGAATGGGTATGTTTGGAACAGCTTCACAATTATACACTATGAGACAAAAGTTTAACCTGCTCATTTCACTCTCCTGTTTGACACTATTAGTCATGTGTCAAAACAGTTAAAAACTTCCCACGTGAAAGAATTAGAATAACCACTGGTTCCTTGGAGAGCTGCAAGAAATTGTGCTTAGGATTTCTTGCTGATAACCCAACTCACAGAGGAAGATGCTCTTCAGGAAGCAAGGTCTATTCTGTCCACAGGAGTTAGGAATCAGAATGTGTTAACAGGGGAAAAAAATCCTGAGTGATTCCTTTTTAGGTCAGTAGTTTTCTTCCTTTCCACATTATAGTGACACCCATATAGACCACGTATATGTGTGTGTATGTGTTTTTACACATACTGAAAAGTACAAATAAATGTATTTCTTGGAGATGCCTTGGCTCTCCAAGACTGCAGAAGAAAATCAAGGAGCTTGAATGTAGTGGGTGGAAAGTGAAATAGGACAGTTAATCAAATTATGGTTGTCCCATCCCACAGACTGTTGTCCTTTCTCTGCAAGCTGGATAAATTCAGCCTTCAGCTCCATTTCTCAGTCACATTTCTCATTGCTGCCTCTTTGCTCAGCCAGTGACAGCAGTGCCAATCCCCCAGTTGTTAAATGCATCCAAAAGCTTCCCCCCTCCTACTTTATGTCACCCTAAAAGTGATTTTGTGCAGCCTCTCTTCCAGAAAGAGTGAATTTGAACACAAAGTCAGAATATTTGAGCCAACGATAGAAGTAAACGGAGAGTCTTGTCTTTAACTCCCATTACCCTATATACATTACAGGAAGGAGAATGTCCCTTTAAATAGTTTGGGAGCCCTCTAGTGATTCTTCCCGTTTTTCACTGAAAAAAATATGCGATTCTCCCCAAGATTGGGGGGTGAAGGGTGGGGGGACAGGTGACTGGGCCTTTGGGCCCAGTCCGTGCCCGTGAGGCTGAGGAGGACTCCTGCATCCTTAACCTGGCATGGAGACCGAGGACGTGGTGCTCTCCTTCCTTCCGTCATCTCCATTTGCCTGCATTACCCCTCATTTAAGTTCCTATTCTGCAGTTTCAAACTCTGACAGATCTCAGACTTCAATCTTGGCAGCATCGTGTCTTAGTTTGCAAGGGCCCTTCAGGGCAGAGCCCCAAGCATGTGTGTGTTTGGGCATGCTACAAAACCTTCCTTCTGAGTTCTGAGGAATTAAGAGTGAAAATCCCAAACCTTCAGATTTTGCTGAGAACTCAATCTTTTGCTGTTACACCATTACAAACTATAGGCACATAAAAAAATGTATTTTTAGGAGTCCCATTGAATTGCATAGTATGTAGCATAATGTAATCAATAAAAGAAGCTGCATATAAATAATCTGTTTGGATTCTCACACATTTTAAGATGAGAGAGGGCACCATTCCCAGCAGTACTCCCCCCTCCCTCAGAGTTCACACCTTTTATGGGGGAAAATGATTGTAAAGTATTCATTTAAGCCAATAACCAAAGCTTATGTTATTCATTTCTCAGTGATATACATAGTGCTCTTTTTGTATACTATTAACCGTGGACATATGTTTTTCATTTGACTATGTTACTTACACACGCTATTCTTTTAAAAAATATGTAAAATATAACAGCTGCTGTAAAAAAAAAATATTTTTAGATCCCTGAAGTGCCTAACGAGCTGTAGTGCGCAGCAAAAACGGTTTGATCTTTGTTACATGCCCAGAGTAACATCTCGTGGAAGAGTTTAATCCACTTGGTCATCGCCCTAGAAGAAAGTGACCCAACACAGCTATAATATGATAAAAGTGTTTCTCCAAAGTGTGTTCCTTGGCGATAGAGGCAAGGTCTTGATCATCCGCTACATCAGAGAAATGATACAAACAATGGATCAGCCAACTCCAAGAACAGCGGTATAAAAGCAATTGTAAAGGCACCAACTATATCATCTGAGCTCTGCTTTGACAGTGCTGTTTTCTCATGGCAAAAATATACCTATTTCCTGCCAGTGTAAGTGAGAGATTAAGGGGTAAATATAGAAAACCTAAAGTTTGCTTTGGATGAGAAGTTTTTTTCTTTATGAATTATTGAATAAATCAAATATCTTTGGTTCTCATCCCAACAGGGTGTGATGATAGCTAGCTTGAAAAAAAAATGTAGCAAGAGCAAACGTTGGCAAGAGTGCAGCATTATAATATGAAGTCAAAGCGATAGATAAGATTGTCAGCTACAGTAAAAGCTATCGATATGGGAAGGAGATGTTTAAGCTGTAATTCTACCTAGATTAAGGTTACTTAAAAATGGTGTTTGTGACTTGAAAGTAACCTGGGTGAGACTCTTTTAAGGGACAAATTCCACCTCTAGATATTACATAGATGCAAATTATTCCACTGCAACATTTTTGGCTGCTGTGATGTGAGGGAATGGCAAGTATGGAGAACTGCCAAAGCTGAATGTCTACTTCCTTCTCTTCCAGTTGATAAGACAGGCGAGCTGAAGTGCTTTTTTGAAATCAGTCATGTGGTATGTGGAAAGTGGGATGAGAAAACAAAATCTTCGTTATGAAGATCCCAGTCATACAGTGGTAGGGAACATGCTGGGGAGGCTCCTGTTCTCGGAGGCGCGCTGACATTCCCTGCAGCAGCTGCAGCACCAGGTTGTAAGTTCTCTGCTGCCATTTGACAGGGTGCCACAGGCTTTGCTTGCACCAAGTCCAGCTCTGCCAGCTCCTGCAAAAGCTTACCTTGCATCATCCAAGTTAAATATAGACAATGTTTTTCATTTCTTTATATTTCTTGCATTTCCTTGAGTTAGCCTTGATGTTTCCAGAGTGTTCAGAGGTGTCCAGGGTATTCCAAGCTATGCAGAGAGTGTCCTTGAATCACTTCCAGTGAGTGTCAATGCAACAAAAAGTCGCATTAGTGACATCCAGCTGGCTTTGTGCTTTGCGCCGGGTGCTTGTTTTACAGCAGCAATGTTATGGTATTAATCTTCAAACTGTTGACATTTAGCTTATTCAAAAGCTTTTGTTTGCAATTGTATAGACAGTTGAATATGGATGTTGCACTTTCCACAGATCAGTTAGTTTGACATTTGAACCCTCCTCTCATAAACTTCTGTTATCACTGATAATTGCCCTGAAGGTGGCCTAATCAATCACTGCCAGTTTTCAGGTTGTCCAGGGTGGGTTGGACCCTGAAGGTTTGTAAATATTAAGTACGTTTATTTAGAAGAATGGACCACTGGTTTTGTACTTTTTCATTGTATTTGTCAATAGTACTTCCAGTAACCTTGACAGTCTTAATCAAAACAAGCTTTGAAGCTCCTGGGATAATTACGACATTCTTGTTTAGTGTCCAACAACTGATATGTTCCATTAAAATTATCTCTGATCTTACCTGTGTTGAAGCAGTATTTGTTCACTAGTGATGGCAGTACAGCATTTTCTGTAAAGCAACTGTCTTAGTGCCTAGCCATGTTATTATGTGATATAGGTTGTTGACCATGGGGGAGCTAATAGTGCAGTGTGGTCAGTTTCTACATCGTTTTCTTAGCAATTACAGATCTATGGCAAAGGAAAGCCAATCCAAGTTTTCCTATTTCTCTCATGAGAAAAATTTCATTTAGTTTTATAATACAAATTCCATATCTGGTCACTGCATTGTCAGACAGGTCAGTTCTTCATGCTGGTAAGTAGATGGATCTAAGTAAGTTTTTCTGTGATTCTACTGTGCCCCAAGATATAACTTGAAAGAACCTAAATTGAGGGGAAGGGAGGTTCTTCAGGAAATGGCTGGGCTCTGCAGCCCTGCAGTAATGCTGACCCATGCAGAGACGCACCAGCTGCATTAACTTAGTACTGCAGTTCATATAAAAGCTTTGACTTCTGGTGATGGCTCTAGTTTCAGTTGAGTGCTAGGGAGAGGTGGTAAGGACGTTTTTGCTTCCAGAAATGGTTTAGCTTGTGGGAGCTGGATTTGCTCTGTTGTGTGGGAGTCACTGAACTCCCACAGATGGCTCCTAGCCACGGATCCTGGATCTGGCAATTTAGGTGAGCGGATGTTGTGATGATAACTGCTAGTGAATCCACACCTGCTTTGCTGCTTTCCTCTCTTACGAGTTTAAAGGAATGGCAGATCAACTTGGCATCAGGAGCATGTCTGTAGATTACTGCTGAGCTAAGGAGCTGGGTGCCTCACTCAGGAGGGGGATATTGAATGATTTGATTTCTAAAATGACAGAGCAGTCTCTAGTATGCTCCTTTGTCAGGGATTTGGGAATAACAAATTATTTTTAAACTTTGCTTTATGTGCCTTTTGGAAAGCAGAAAGTGAGAGAGAGAATTGGGAAAATACTTGTGCTTTAGGGAGACTTCTCTCCTATCTCATACATATAATATGCATAAAATCTTTTTACTAGAATAAAGCAAGTCAAAAAAAATTGGGATGAACCACTCTCAGCAAGTAAACTAAATCTTTTAATCTCCATTTATCTCAGATGGGTAGAGTGGGTAGAGGAGCTATATTTTGAGGACTGAGTGTAGAATAAAAACTTACACCAGAGGGCAGCCGATAACTGATGTGTTGGATTGCTAGCACTGTATCTTATCTTGTGGAGTAGCTGCCCCAGAAGATTCATATACCGCAGATCATTTCATGGGAAATTTAGGCTTGCAGAACCTGTTAAGCTGGCATTTTCTCTCCTGGTCAATGTAAATGTGTTAGAAATGCTGCACATAATGAGGGTGATCAGCTATAATAGTGTAGAAACCTGCTACAAAGAAATAAGCAGCACTGTTCTGAATTCAGGCTTTTTCAAGAGCTGTATTTCAAGTGTTCGCTGATTTTATTAGTGTATTTATTATTCATCTTAAAGTAATTTAGATTTATTTGGACTAATTAACAAAATGGTTAAAAAAAATTACAGTCCTCAGCCAAATGGGAGATAGATTTAAAGATAGATTTTAAAATCTTCTCATTTTTCAAATTGCCTTAATACAAAACTGTGGTAAAAATAGTTGCATGTTGCCCAGCTTTTTATTTCAGCAGTACATAGGCATGAAATGACACTATACATTTTGAAATGAACTTATCCCAGTTCAGCAAACCACTCAAATATAGTCTTTATTGCCTATATTTATTTATGTGATGCCTGGTAATAATCATTCCTATGATGCCTATAGGAATAGGAAAACATAAGTGAGCTCCTGATAGGATCTGGGTTCTGCTTAGGCTCGTGGCAAAAAAAAACGTTTTTTAGGAAGGAAGTTGAGGTTTCCAGGAGCATTTTGCAGACTTGCAGGTGCTATGGGTTGTCAATCAGTGTTATTTAGCTGTGATGGTTGCAAACAATGTATGAGTTTTGGCTCATAGTAAGTAACCAGGAAAAGTCTAAGTCGGAGAGGAGAATTTTTGTATAAACATGCTTGCAGTCCGTGTTGTGTTTACATTGCAGGATATACTTATAGCTCTCAGAAATGTAGATTTTATGGAAGAAACAGAGGCATGGGGACAGTTAGGTGTCCAAAGTATCACAATGAGGAAACTGTGAAAGTTCCCTGACTGCCAGCCTTAGTCAAGTTTCCCTCAAAGTAATCTCATAGGAGTCCAGCTCCCCACACATATCTGCAAGGCTGGGGTGGCAGAGGAAGACAGAACTGCTAGAAGCAGCAACCACACCAGTGGCCACCAAGCAAGTGTGAGAGCCTTGCTGCATTTATCCTGCTGGTCAGCCCAGTGCTAAGGAGAGACTGGCTCCTCTAGAATCAGAGAAAGAGCTTAACTGAATTGCCTTTTAGAGGAGATTTTTCGTTCACCAATAGTTGCAAAGAAAGTTTGAGGTTTGGTTCATGATAGAAGTGAAAGATTTTGTAATCTCATGTTTCTAAAACTTTACTCTCTTCTCCAATATCTGGCACATATAAACCATGTGCATATGTACATGTATATGTTCTGCATATTAAATCTTAGAGATGAACACCTGGATGTTTGTGAACCTCAGCTTTTTGTTGGACTTTAAAAACCTAAGGAAGTCGGAGTACTGCCCACACCCACAAGATGCTGATATTTTTCCCTGTTCAACTGATGTATTCTTAAGAAATTAATCGGTTTTTGTTTTTTTGTTGCAAGGTAGGGTCCTAATATAAATGTGAGGTTTGAGGAAAAGAAAATTAAAATTTGATCTTATGAATTTGTTAGATCTATATCCAGTCATTACCCTATACTATTTTAATGTGTAAGCTGTAAATTACTTGTAATCCACATCTATGCCTGAGCTACTGCATCTACAGTTCTTCAAGACTATCATAGCTGGAACTCCTCTGTATTAATTTCACCTTTGAAATTTGCTTTCCTTTTTTAACCATAATCAGATATTTGATTGTGTATGTGCTGATCTATTTTCTTCCCACTCTTACACATAGGTGATATTTAATGTTGAGCCATCACATTGTCCAGTGAGACATCAAAGAATATGAACATTACACTCAGCATCCTTTCTGAGCCTGGTCTGCCGCAATCTTCCTTCTGGAAGGTAAGATTTTTGCCCTGTGATTAATTTTTATATACTGGAGAACTGTAAAAGTAAATGTGCTTCTCTCTCTTTTAAAAAAAAATATTTAATTGTTTTTTAACTTTTTAATTTCATCTAATACTGGTTGAAAGTAGAATGTGCAGGCATAACTTGCTTTGCAGGCTTTTTCCTTTAAAAATGATGCAGTGCATGCCTTACATGAAAATTAGGCTTATTTTGTGCAATTGTAGTTCTTACATGATTTTTATTGATCAGTATTGGCCCATGCCCAAAGGCCTGGATGATTAAAATATTAATGTTTCTCTGCTTCTATTTACTGTTTTCAGAAGTTGATTCGTTGTAACCAGTGTAAAAGTTCAGCTAACTCGATGAAAATGAAAACTTTCAAAATTTCAAAGCAGCATTTAAGAGAATTTGATCCTGCATGCATTTGGAATGCCTCATTACTATCTTGCCAGCATTCATAATTCTATCATAAATATATAGATTTTCCTAATAAATGAATGAAAGTACCTTTTGGGAAATAAAGTGATATGTTTTTAAGGCATTTGTTTACTTTTTCTGTAAGCTCCTGAGATGGCTAACATACTAGTTGTTAATCACACCATCTGTTCAAGCAGTATTTGACTAAATGAATCAATTCATACTTTTTCTTCTTAAAGCAGCTTTTTTGCAGAACAATATGTTTGTGTCTATTACCCTATCATTTGGCAATGTAATATGAGATATTTTAATTTTCCTATTTATTGTGCATGGTTTTTCAATCTCCAAATATTTTTTTTTAAATATGCATACAGCACAGAAAAGCTGTGTCTATTGATTTCTGCAACACTGCAAACAGTGGAAAAATCTGTTCCATTCTGCTGTCAAATTTTTAACCATCTGATTATATTTAAATGAGTTATTCCAACATGTTTCATTTGAATGACCGTCATAAGCGATTCCTTTTCTGTACCCAAGATGGCAGTGGTGCACAACCTAGCCAGTGCTATTTGTCCTGGAAGAATTTTGCTCAGATTTCTTGCACGTTCCCGGAAATGGCAAATTAGGAGGAAGATTCTGCAATTGGAATAGCAACCTCTTGCCTTAATTGTCTCTGAGTTTATTTACATAATTCCAAATAAAATTTGTATCTTGAAATGAATAAAAACAAGCTTTACAAAAAAGTCAATAAATGGCTTTTGAAGTTTAGAGAAATATTAATCAGTTCAGTTTAAAATTTCTTTGTGTTTATGTCCAATTTCTAGCTTCAGCTGAAATGAAAAATCAACAGCCTCTGTACATTAAATTCTCTCCTTGCGTCTCGGAGCTGTCAAATCTTGGTCATTCCTGCAACCACATGTGTAAGACCAGAAGTTTCAAGGGAATGTGAGTCATTTCTAACCCACAGATGCATAGTGCAAATATACTGGATAAGTTCCTGACTTAGACTACCCAAACTCAATGTTTTGAGGTACACCATAACATAGATTCAGGAGAAGAATATTGGGCTGAACACTAGGAGAAAAAAGATAAAGTCATGTTAGTAAAATAGCTTCTGATTTTAAAAATAACAATTGAAGCCACATTGTTAGTACAAAAAAAAAAAAAAAAGAAAATCCCAAAGGAAATTTGGATGATTTTTTTTGCATTATCATGAATATGCCTTGATACTAAGGTGAAATTTAGACTTATGGAGCAGAGTTAGCAATTGCTACTGAAGGCTATATACATTTCCATGATATTTAATAGCTATTCCTTAGTGCTTACTGCTGCAGTACTACTGTCCAGAGAATTTACCTTATAAGAAAGCGCACTCTCTCTTCTAATGCAAATACTTATATATCAAAGATAAAAGCTGTTTAAAAACAACAAAAAAACCCTGTATCAGAGAGATGATCTGGTGGAATCTTTATCATCCTTTGACTTGTCCGGTCTTATTCAGTGATTTCCTTTCCATTTTTTAATAACAGAAAAGAACTACAGAGGCAAGTATGTCTATGAACGAGGTTTAAATATCTTTAGAGCATCTTGTAGTCTGTTGTGCCAGAGGAACATTGTTGTCTTGCTGGCTCATAAATAGAGAAGGGGTGTTATCAGTAATGCAGGCATCGAAAGGGTGGGTAGTTTTAGGAGGCCTGAACTGGTACTAAATATGATTTGGAAGTCAGTGAAGGGCATGCAATAATATATACTCTTTTTACAATATGTATATATTTTAAGTACCCTTGTATGGAGGTAAGCCGCTGACATTTTATTAAGTGGAGATTTTTCTTCACTTTTAATTACAAGCTAACATTTATCTGTTCTGAAAGTACTGCCTACATGAGTCATTGAGTGATTCCTCTGAGAAAAAGGATTATTTCTTGGCATTCTGAAGACAAAAGATATTTTTTGTGTTTAAAATCCTTTCCCATATCTGAATATTTAACATTGACATTTGATCCAGTGTGTTGCTTTGAACAACAGGACTTACTTGTTGATAGAGGGGGCCCATCTCTTCAGTTAAAGAAGAGAGCAGCTGCTTGATTAATCAGTCACAGTACTTCTCCTCCTGTAATTCAGGTGTTGCTTAACTTTCAATTTGAGGCACTATTTGCCTTTGTCCTGGCAGCATTAATATTGGTGTTTACTTCACATCCTTAATTCCTTTTACTGAAAAGATGTCATCCTCATGTTGCTAGAAGCAAAGATATTTCATGTTTGCACCATTCCTGCCTTCTCTGCTTCTATAGAAACAAACAAAGAAAGAAGAACGATTACCTTGGCCCTTTTCATCCCCATCCTGGGAGTATAAAAGTCAGCAGTGCTTGGAGCTGATAAAATCCTACACAATTTACTTCTGCTTTTGGCATCAGCAGTGCCTTGTCAAGAACACTGGAGTCAGTGCAGTGATGCAGAGGAGTCCCACTAGGAGTGCCTTGTTGTGCCCTGAGTTCAGATCCACCTCCTTCAGAAGTGCTTTTAAGATGCATTTGAATTCTCTTAATTCCAGACTTGAATAGTGATGCCTTCCTTCTGCAGATATTAGAATTCTCCTTAAAAATCTAGTGAAATACATCACCAGATTTATATTGTACGTTTTTTATTTGCAGCAGATTGATCAGGCCACCTATTTTAAAAAGGAAAAAATTATTTTTCATCTGGATGAGAGCAGTTCTACTGAGAACTGAGGTTACCTTTTTTGCGTTAAGTAATGTGGGAAATTTGACTTCCTTAGCATTCATAACTGACTCATTTGCAATGCTCTTCACTAAGTGGAATTCTTTTTCTTTAAAAGGTCAAATTATTTCTGACCTTTTTGATTAGGCAGCATTTTTACAGTTATCTGAGCTGGAAAAGATAAAATTTGCATAAAATAACCTGATTTTCTTATAGTTTTTTCTATACTATGAGGTGAATTTATGATCTATATTCATACTGATAATTAATGACTCAAACACTAGTGACTGCTAAGGTATCATTTTTGTAAGGGCAGTGTGAAAATTTATTTCTTAGTCCACCTCTGAATTTCTAAAATTAAAATCCTGGCATTCTTTCTATATTGGTGGAATAGGAAGAAGTGATAGGAAATGTTTGCTATAGAGAGTGGCACAAGACCTAGAGTGCCTAATGTTGGTGCGGGAATATGATGGAGTTAATCTGAAGTTGATCCCAAAATTCGTTATGGTATCTTGATATTTTAAGCTGTGGAAAACAGCAAAAGTTGCAAATTGTTATTATTTTCATTTTCATATTTTCATTTCAAACATGACTTTCTGTCCCATTTTTCTTTTTCAGTAATAGAGACAATGTTAAATTTTATTCCAGATCTTTGATAAAGAACAACATTTGAGACCTCAAACATCAGAAATGACTTTGTAGAAATCACCCTAAACCTCTTTTGGCAAAGAGTTCAGCTAGGTGAGTACAGTGACACAGTGAAAAAGCTGTATTGTCACTATCCAGCATTGTTAAAGACAGATTTTTTTTTATGGTGTTAAAACAATAGTTCCTAAGAACCATCCAGCATGAGATCCTCTTTAGCAAACATTGCACAGACACAGTAAATAGCTTCCAAATCTAGTGAGCTTTAAATTGTCATACTTATCAGCATGATGTTAGTAAATAGCTAATTCATTACATGCCTCTTTCCTACCTTTAGCTGGTACTTGGATGATAAGCTAAAATTGTTCCAAGTGAGTTTATGGTAGATTATAAGGGATTCTTTCTAAGTAGACAGAGAAGATGTTCTTTTCAGGATAAGATGACTGTGTTGACTACCTATTGTCCATATGGTGGAGCTGTGATAAAAATGTATAAACTGGCAGTATCGGCCCCTCCATATCAGATTTGGCAAGCCTGCCATGCTCTGCTTACGTGCTTGCACTAGGTAGATGCTGCAGGATAACCTGCAGTGAGTATGGAAGTGTTTCATACCAAATACTGTCACTTTTTTATGGAAGTTCTTAATCTTGCTTTAGTTTCCTCTACTAAATACACCAGTATGCTCATGTTTGGGGGAAAAAAATGCGCTTTTTCCTTTTCCATTGCATCCTTTCCTTATCGAGAAAGAAGAAATTGGCCCTTCTCCTCAAGCATACTTTTACCAACCATTTCCCCGGACTGTTCCAAGACATATATAATTTTGCAAATATTGCTAAGAGTTTCTTCCAGTTCTCTGTATCAGAGCTGCTGTTTCTTCTTCCATGTGTTAATGATGACTTCTTCAATTAATTTCATTAGAAAAGAAAAATATCGTCACCAACAAGATTTCTTATTTACCTGCAGCTCTTTGGGGCCTTTTACTTTTAATAAAGACTAATAAAAGTCTTTATTTTTATGGGAATAGTTACCTAATGTTGCTTGTTACTAGGATATATTTTAATACCTTAGCTTATGCCATTACACATGTAGTGATAGTCTTCCTCCCTCTCACCCTCCAACCCTTCCTCTTCTTTCTCCATATCCCTTGTGTATGTACTGCTAAAGTCAGATCTATCTTTGTTTTCGCTTCCTTGCTTCCCAACCTTTCCATGCCCCTATGCATGGATTTCTTGTGTGCTTGTGTCTGAGATGGCATAGCTGTCTAATTTATTAGAGTTTAGTGCAGCCAGTTGGAATACGCACTATAGACCAAGATACAGAATCTTTCTCCAATGCTGAGCAGAGCATATGAAGATGAAATGGCTTACCAGTTAGGTCTGCTTAATGTTTGATTTTTCTACCATCTTGAGGGCATACATATTCTACTCTTCTTTGCATTGCGTACTTGTACAAGCATATCATTGCTCTGGAGAGCAAATAGCATTTACATTTCGTTTTTTTTCCCTATTTTAAGAAAATTCTCTAAGTATTGTGGAAGAGAGTGGTTTCAATAAAAAGCAAATGCCAATTGCTACTTACCTGTCCTACAGACATTGTTAATTCCCAAGGCTTATTTTTGTAACAAAAGGAAACACAATAGAGCAATTCCACCTAGAATGGAAGGCTCGCAGTCGGTGGGCTGCACAAAGGATTTTTCAGTTAGTTGCTCATTCCTCTGTTAGTTCGCACATAAGCTTTTTTATTGTATTCCCATTACTTGCATTATTTTCTTACATGTTTTATTTAAACATTTTAAAATTATTCTATTTGTAATATAAATTGATTGTATCTCAAAGCAGAGAATAAGAAGAAATAATTTTAAAAGATTTTTTAAAGAAGTTGCCTCTATATGACCATTTTTGCAACATTTCCTGCACACAGCACAAAAATCTGAAGAATGTGAGAATGCTATAAACTTACTGCAATATCAGTGTTGCAACTGTATTTGTCTCCCCTCTTTTTACTGCTTTTGCCTCTTTAATCTCTTAATTCACTCATTTTCACAGAAATGAAGTGTCTTGTAGACTTGGCATAAAAAAAAACTTTTCTGGCAGGTTGCCATCCCATTCTGAGCACTGAAGTGCGTTTTGTACTAAACAAACAAACAAACAAAACCACTCAAAAATGGCAACACTGAGCCTGAATCAGAATAGGTCAGATGATAACACTTTTAATTCCTCCAAATTTAAATGAACGAAAATAATGAAGCACAACAACATTGTATTTTGAAATATGGTGCTCTTGTAAAGAGCAATTGATTTCTATGCCTGCTAATCACCACATTTGCTAGAAGTGCAAGAGCTGTGACAAGTGTGTCAGTGCTCTTACCAGACTCACAGGATGGTGGCAAATCTGCTTTCAGGAGACTTAAAGGCATGTACTAGTACTAGCCTTGCAATCGCTTGTGGCTGTTGGCTTTTCTGTTATCACATTATCTGGTATTGTAAAATTCAGTCCTCCGTCTCACAGTATTTCAGGCAATTCTTCAGCATTCATTCTTTTCCAATAAAACTGAGTAATTTACTTTTGTGTAGAAAATTGACTGGAGAGAGACTAAAAGTTTCCCATGCAGTGAAAGCTTTTGCTGTGGGGTGTAGGTGGTCAGTAGAAAGTCAGCATTTAAAAAAACACTGTATTTTCCAGAGTACAAGATGCTTGTATTATTTGTTTCTTTGTGCACAGTTGAAGTTGTTTTAGTAATAACTTTATGCACCTACTTTGTGCTTTAGCATATACAATCCATATGAGTTTCAAGAGCGTATAGTTTTGCTCCTGTTCTTTTTAGAGGTGCAGTGAGCCAGTTCTGTATTATTACATCTTCTCAAGGGGCTCAAGTGAAAAAAGTTTGTGAAATGCTGCACTAAATCACCAGTCAATGAGGCCACTCACAGTACATAAACTTAACCACGTTCATAAGTCTTCTCTGGGTCAGGGCCGAAGAATGCGCTCCTTTGCCAGTACTGCAGTTAAAGACAGTTTAACAAACAGAAGAATCAAGCACAACAAGAAAAGCATCATTCTTAGGAAGACACTTGACATTCCCTGAAGCATCCACACCCAAAAATCAGTCCACACCTGAAAGCAGACTAAACTAAAAGCAGTTTGAATATGTTCTAGTGTAAGAAGTTCAGCTATTTGCAAATATTAAGTAACTGTTCTATATACTTCCAGTACATCTCATTGCATTTAACTTGCATCCATCAGTCTGTCTGTATCACTGAGGAAACTGAGAACTTAATAATCTCTAAAACAGCGTTCACTGAAAAATAATAACTGTCTACGTTCAATAGGTCTGCAGTAATTTCAAAGCTTTTGTTGTCTTTTCATGCATTCGATTCCTCAGGTGTCATACACAATGTAATTAACCTATATTTGTAAACAGTCTCTGGTACATAAATGATTTCATTGTAGCTGACGTGTCCAGGGGATTCTCTGTTAAAGAGTATTTGTACATTGCTACAAAATGGTGGGTGTTTTTTTTTTTTTTTTTTTTTTTTTGGCATGGGTATTTGTGTTACATAGCACACGCTTTGAAAACGAACAGAAAACAACTATGCACCAAGGTGGCCAAACTACATGTTGAAGAATTATAAAGATACATAAAAATTGCGCTTAAAATGGAAGTGCTGAGTCCACAGTAAAAGGTTTAAATAGCTGTTCTCTCTGTCACTTATAAACTAACTGCATCCATAAATCTTCACCTGGCTTTATAGAACATTCCATGCATTCAACTTACTCTTTGAAACTCTGGAGACATTAGGCTATGCTCTATAGCTGCTTTCACCATAGAGGCTAAGCAATAGTTCTTGCAATAGTTGAAATATTTATTTCTCATTACCTTTCATATTTGTTATCATGGTATCGGGAGACAGAAAACAGAACTAGAAACCGAGATATCTTGAACTCTCCTTTCCTTTCTTCAGCTTCCTTAAGTGTCTGCAAGTCACTAATTAGGCACCTGCACCACAGAAGCTCTTTTGCAGATACCTGCTTCCTGACATGGGATTTGGAGGGAGTTCATAGCTGCTTTGCAAGGCTTGCATGTCAGTTATAGCATCTTAAATACTGAGTTCACTCAGGTAAATATTTTTTTGTCTATGTACTTTGTATCATTTAAATTGATGCAAAATAACATTCCTATAGTGTAAAGGCCACTACACTGAATACAGGTGATATAAGGATTTGTGTGTAGGGATTTGCTTTATCATAGTAGTTTTGTGTTTGGTTTATGTTCTCACTTTATTTTTCCACTCCAAATGCCTGCCAATTGTGTGAGACACAGGAATTAGTAGAAAAATGGGGAGGAAATGTTTATTTATTGAGACAGAATTAGGACAGAGTTGGGTTCTATAGCTGTCTTTACCTTTCTCTCATGGGTGTGGCCAGCAGCTATGCCTATAGAGAGAGATCCCCTTTCCTGTGTCTGCCTTCCTGGGGGTGTGTGGGCAAGTATCTTACAAACAATAACAATTTGAATAACATGAGAGAAATATCCTTGTTACATGTCTTACACATGCACATGTGGATAATGAGTAAATCTGGGCAGCATGAAAGATAGGACTGGGAATATTCCTATGACAAAAGGCAGATTCTAACTAATCAGTGTAACTCTAATTAATCTGTATGCAAGAATGTATTTACCACCAGAAGAAACAGGTAAATTTGGCTATAATTGTGTCTTGCTTAAGTAAACTAACTAATCATTAGTTCTGGCAAACAAGAGAGTAATAATTTGATTCTTCAAGGTTCATTCAGTTATTAGCCAGCACACTGGCCATACAGTAACTCAGGGTTTATCATTAAGTTACATACCAAACATTTCACATGCTCAGTGCCTGGGATGGGAATGTAATCCAGATCACTTCAAAAGCAGAGACCATGTACCCATTTGAATAAAAGGGAATGTTTTTAATGGGTATCAGCACAGCTCCATGGAGATTTGGCCAGGCATTAGAAAAGGTAAGAGCATGAATAATATTCCTCAAAAATGTCTATGTCATTTTAATTCTATGAGCTGTGAGGAAGAATTACTTTGTTCACAGTTTTTCACCTGAAGGTATTTTGCAGGTGTTCTTTATTGAGATGCGTGAATGGCACCCTCTTTTAAATTTTACTACTGAAAGTGAGTGTTTTCATATGTTGTATCCAGCTTAGTTGAAGTCTTATATGTTCTGAAGAGAAGAATTATTTGAGAATTTCAGCTACCATTTCTAAGGAACTGGTTTACAGCTTCTAACAGTGTAGCAGATAAATATTCAAGAATATTTATCTCCCCTGCACCGCATGGAAAACACAATGATAAATAAGCACGCTTATTTCAATCTCTACAGTTCATAGCCAGATGAATGAATACTGTTCAAAATGGTATATGAATTTTAGTAAGGCTTTTTCTATGGACAATGACTGATGTTATGACCAAGTTTGCTTCTATCCCTATCAACTAATAAGTTAATAACTTAATAATGAATAGGGAAATATGGAAGTCTTCCACTAGTTTTTCACTAACTTCTGTCTATTTATTTATTTATTTTTTTAAGAGTACAAAATACCTCCCAGGAAATTTGTGACAAAAATATTTCCTCTGCTTTAGCATATTATTGGATGATGTCATTCCAAATATCAAAAAAAAAAAGGTGATAATTATTACTTGAGCTCTGACTCAACTCATATCTTTAAAATGTGTTTACGAATATTTTCCAAAACTCATCTCCTAACATGAGATGCTTCTGACATCTGTAAGGGACACAGAGAAGTAGACTACACTCTTTAATAGTTTTTTTCTGTTTGATTGGTTCTCTTCCAGAGCTATTCCACAGGGTGAGATAGAGGAGGCCACACAGAATTGAGGTATTTTATTACAGCATTTGTGGATAACTTCTGTGATATTCTGCACACCTTTGCATTTCTCTTCCTCATATCTTCTGTTTGAAATCTCTCACAGAGTCCTTGCAATTTAGTTTAAAGAAGACATATTTGTGCTTCACTAACAATCACATTGTAACTCCACAAATCATTAGAAAGAAACAAAAATACATTGAAAACAATGTGCAAGTAAAACTTGCATTTAAAACTGTATTGCTACATAATTATCCTGTTTACAGTCTTCCTTACAGCTTTTCTCACAGAAAATTGTAGATTTGGATTCTAAGTGGAATGAAAATGCCAGAAAGCTTTGGCAAGAGTACGTTTGCTGCATACTTAGGGATATTGCAGGGAGAAAGAAATGTGTTTGTAATTAGGGACACACAGAACAGTTCTGATTACATTTCAGAAAGCCAAATAGAGTAACTTTCTAAAGGACAAGGCATGTAAGCTTAAGCGAATAAAAATTCAGCTTTTACTAAAGTAAAGGAAGTAGACAGGTTATCACAAAGTTGCTTTAACAGACTTGCTGTTTCACAGTACTCCATTTCTAAATTTGTTCTCCACTTAAGACATACATATCATTTGTCCTGCAGAATTTAAAAAATCTGGCCAGTTTTCTCTCAAAATCTGTGAGTAAAAAAATAGCGGTAATGTAACTCAACAGGCAGTAAGTAGACATAATTGATAAAGTTGCTTTTAAAAATGCATCTAAATACTGCTTTATTTGGAGAAAGATAAAAAAAATGTAAAGTATTGCTCCTTCCAGACAGAAGCTTTTTATACCTACCTGATCATGGGAATCCAGGCATCTCTGAAAAACATCACTTTTTCTGCCTTGACATATGAATTTGTAAATAATTCCTACAAACGTTCACAGCAAACTCTCATGTGCTCCAGGTGTTCATTGTCCTTCCTGTAGGCCACATCTTTTTTTCCAGATCAAACCAAATGTCATCTTTCCATGAATATGACTCAATGCATATCAAGGTGAAATTAGGCACTTTCACCTTAATTTCAATGTAAGGGTTCGAGATCGGTAGCTGATAATTCTCAGGTTTCTATATATATAGAAAGAAAATGGATTTGGAACCTCGTGTTGACAGTCCAAACCACAAGGATGCCAAGGATTATGTCTCCTACATTGAAAAGATATCAGAAAACAACAACAAAAAACAGTTTATGGCAATTAGTATAGGCTCTGAGAAAGTACATCTTCATGGTGCACAGCACTATTTACCATGAAAAGCTGAGTATCATTAGAGAATCATTATAACCGTGAAAGACCTGGAGCATGTTAAAATGCTTTTTATAGATGATTTTTAAAAATTTATTATTCACTCCCGACCTCTTCCAAAGACCACTGTTTCTTTTAGTTGTCTTAGCATTAAAAATTTCATGTCCCTACTCATAATAATGGTGACTGAAGAGCTCTATCTCTGTGATGCCCAAGAATCTCACTTTTAGTAGAGTGCACAAATAAATTAACTCACTGGTTTAGAAACAGCAAATGATCAAAAAGAAAATGGTGATAGTTTAGTAAAACTTTCTGGTAATATAATCAGTGTTCTTAGAAATCCATGTCAGCTCCTGCAACAGCTCTATGAGTTTTACCTCATGTTTGTAAGAAAAACAAACCCCATCATCGTTATATAAACACAAAAGAAACGTTCCAGAAGAAATGGCAGCAGAAGTGGAAAGGAAACAAGACTTAGATTCTCATCCAATGTAGATCTTTGTACTGTATGTTTATTGAAGTCAAGCAGGTAATATTTCTAACCCTAGAACAAGCCACATAAAAAAGTCTTGCAACACATTCTTGTGCTCTGCTTTTCAGAATTGTGGCATATACAATAGCGTACCTGAAAGTATACACTACTCCTACCTGTTAAATGCCCAGCTCCTCCATGAGTTTTTGTTGGAACTTTGCCTGTGCAAGTCACTGTAGCTATTGCTGCATGTTAAACACTTACACACTAGCATTAGGTACAAACACTCATGTTTGCCAAGCACAGAAAAATTTGTGTTCAGTGAGTAAGTTTGCCATCACTCCCCTGAACCGTGTCATGGTAATAAGCAATTTCAGGAAAAAAAAATTGTACTTTGGAGATGCTTTATTAAAACAATCTCCAATGGTTTTCCTCTTGCATTAGGATATTTTATAATACACTTATTTCTCATTACAAATCTGTCCAGCATTCTTGGGTGTAGGGAATTGTGGCATATTGGGAATGTTCCCTGTTTTCCGACTGGAAGGAGAGGTATGGATATAACTTCAGCACAGTATTCCTATTTCAGTGCTACAAACCAGGTAGGATTTGGGAATTGGTTGGAACTGTTGTAGACTGTCTGATATATTGACAAAATCTTTCTTAATTCCATCTGGTCTTACCTTATCTTCATAAGAACTTTTTGTTTTTATTTTTTAGGACTAAGTGAGCAATATTTGATTGCCTTACTGATATTTGACTCATTCTGGATCAATGCCAACATTAACTGATAGAGTTCTCGCCGTACTGTGTAAGGAACAATTTTTATAATGCTGATTTCAGAAAGCCTTGGTTACTTTAAGGAAATACTGTAACACATTTGTCTGGAAGCCATTAAAGGCTGATAGAAACACAGAAACTCAGGACTTATAGAAATCATTCTATATATTCACCTTGCCCACTAGCTTTTCTTTTCTTTTCTTTTCTTTTCTTTTCTTTTCTTTTCTTTTCTTTTCTTTTCTTTTCTTTTCTTTTCTTTTCTTTTCTTTTCTTTTCTTTTNCTTTTCTTTTCTTTTCTTTTCTTTTCTTTTCTTTTCTTTTCTTTTCTTTTCTTTTCTTTTCTTTTCTTTTCTTTTCTTTTCTTTTCTTTTCTTTTTTTATTTCTTGAATCTGTACATAATGACTTTTGACTTTCTGTCTTTATTTTCTCTTTTGCAAATCAAGTACCTTGGTTATTTAATGAGTTTCTCAGAATGTTCTGACAAGCATTCTAAATTTCTTTACACTGCAGACTTCCTATTATCTTTTTGTTCTTGATTCAAGCATAAACTTTAGCAGGTTCACTTTAATTATTATAGTACACTTAAAAATATCTTCATGTGAATGTAGTTAGAATATCTTTTTACAAACTTTGCTCTCCTCCAGTTTCCATAAACTAAAACAGTGTTCACAGTTCCTGAGATCTGCAATGACATGGGGCAAGTCTTAGATGCCCAAACAAGAGTGTCATTTGAGTTTAAAACTATCTGTATTCTATGATGAGGAATTTCTATTTTTCGAATGCATATATTGAGAACTGCTGCATAACTTAACTAAAATGCATACTGCTTTTTCAAAAGTAGTTTGATCTCTTCACTATATGATGTACTGTTTTGTAACAGTTCTTTGAAATATGGTAAAGAAAGATATGGTAAATGTGCAAAGAATCAAAGCAAAGACAGTTAGAATGACTTTTACTCTCGTTATTCCAAAAAGACGTAAACTCACTATTGTCTTTAATGGAGGGCTGCCTAAATAAAAGACTGAAAAATAAAATCCTTCATTTGGTTATTTTATTATTACTTGTAAAATCTTAGAGGCTGGTCTTTAAACCTTTTATCATTTGCAGGAAAAAGCACTGAGAATTTGAATTGCATCAAACCAAAGGATACTGCCTAATTGTGTTGTTCCCTGTTTCTTTAGTGCTATTAAATTAATGGAAACAATAAAGTAAGATCACTGCCTGTAATATTTCTTTCTAAACGTGTTTTGTGGCTGATTAAATATTTGCATGATTCAATAGCAGTTCTTTACTAGCAGATTCTATGCTCAGGAACTCACTGAAATGCATCACAGAATGATTTTGTGGTGAACTGTCATTAAATCCTGCCTATATGTGAAAATGAATGGAATAATATGTATCGAAAAAAACACCTCTTAAATATAGATATGATTTAATTTCACTAAGGATATCTTAATTTGGATATACTCTATAAACAAAAACAAATCCAGTGTGTGAGCTTTTCACATTATTTTCTCCGCTGTGGATATGATTAAGTCCATTAGCTTTAATAACTTCTTGGAAAAATTATATGCACTCTATTTTTTGGTAATGGGCAATATGCTTGCCATGAATGACTTGCTAAATACAAGATTGCAGTATGCACTATAGACTGCATATAGATGCAAATACATTTTAACTTGGAAATTTCAAGAAAAGCTGTACTATTTTACTATTTTATGACCTTCATTATGGCCATAGAATTGAAAAATCTTCCTAAATGCCTACCCATCTGCTCTGAGTAAGGCACATGTTTATGCTGCTGCTCTCCATAATCCCCTTTTCCTTTCTCCAACATCTGCTACTGACCAGGCTTCTTCTTAATAATTATTGAGTGCTTGGTTTGAAAAGGAGCAAGTTCAAAATGAGAAGATGTCACATTATAAAGTTTTACTCCATCTTCTATTATTATCTATTTTAGATGAAAGAATTAAATCATTGCTTAATATGAAATAGGCTGCATTTATCTCCTGGGGCCTCTAAACACTGTATATATAATACATTTTCAAAAGGAAGAATATTATCTAAAGATGCTTTAAAAATGAAATGATATATGAATTGCTACCTTTACTTGGTAAGTGTATTGGAGCACCTGCTCTTTCAGGACTTGTGAGAAGTGAAATAATAAGTAACTGAATAAAAAAACTAAAGCTTTACTGGACTTCTGCTAAACACTAGCATTTTATCTGCCATAGTATGTCCTGTAAGTGCTAAACATGAAAATTCTCCATAATGAAATGTTCAGTAGGCATTTGGGAGAACAATTGTCAGGAGAGAAAACTTATGAAGACTCGCGCGTGTATGGAAGTCTATATCAGTTTTAATTATATAAATCATATTTATATGACATGTATAAGCACTACACCGTACTGTATCTTGGCAGGCACATATTATTCAATTTGCTTCCAAGATTTCAGGTTGCTGAGGATCACATATTGCATGCCCCAAATACAATGTTCACAGTGGTACTGAACTTGCGCATGTTTGACTTTGGGATTTCTGAGATTTCCTTAGCACTTTGCCAAGCAGAGTAGCCTTAGAAATTGATTCAGAGGTGAACTTGTCAACCTATTCAGGCATGTGCAGAAATAGTCTTAGCTTGCCAACACACTTTTTTTTGGAAGCAGGTCTTACTTTCCAAATTCGTACTTCAGTCTAATGAAGGAAAAAGGCGTATGTCTCTAGAATTAATTGTCCCTGCTTTCAGGGACATGTTTATGCAACAGGGTAGATATTTGGTGAGTTGTTTAGAGATCCTTATGGTATAGATATATGACTTGTTGCAGGACTCAAAGGTCACTTATATTCCGAAGTCTGTGTAGCTGTATTGATAACAAACATGCCATTCTAGGATTGTACACAAATACAAGATGGCCAGAAATGGCTGCAAAGTTTCTACATGAAACCATGTGGAGAGCTTACTCTGACCTTTCTCTTGAGAGCAAGCTTTTGAGGGAATCCATACTAGTCTCAAAGGGGCTGAAGTGGCAGGCACATATCTGGCTTCTTCAAACTCTGTTGGTACATGGAAAACCATTTGGTTTAAGCAAATTAGCTAGCAGTGATGGAAAATGCTTGTGAAATGCCTTTGCTGATCAATGCCTGGTCTCCTTCTTTATGTTTAAACAACAGACATCTGGTTTCAGGAAAGATTGGCAACTATAGTGGTGTCAAATTGAAGGATACTCATACTTCCTCTGTCTGGTGGGTGGCCTGTATGACACCCTAGGAGGAAACTCTGTCCCCTGGCTTAGGTCAGTCAGGACTGCAGGTGCAAAAGTTTTGGTTTGAGACATACAGGCAAGGTGAAGAGCAGCTGAGGAGATCTTGTGCCATCTGCAAGGACTAGCAATTTCCTCCTAGTAACACAACTGCTTGTGATTGTATATGTAGAAGAGTGTGTGTGGAGCTCCCTATTCATGTCAATAATGTGTAACTCCACAACTGGCTGCAAGAAGCAGAGAACAGCAAACTGTAAAGATCAAATATTGTGTTTTCAAAAAAAAACCCCAAAACTAGCACACAGGATGAATGAGGGTGTTGATATAGGCAGTGCCTTAATACCATTGTGTCATAGCACCATTAGTGTTTTCCCTGCTTGCAGCTTGTTCCTTCTCTTTGCACCTAATTGCAGATGGAAATGCAAATATCATTAGAGTATGTCTAGAGCAATGCAAAATACGAAGGCTTTTATTTCATGTAGATAGTTTGCTTGAGTTCTAATGATGCGTTCTGTGCCCTAGGTCATAGCTTTTCTGATTTAAAAACATATTTGTCCCAATTGAAGGTTGAAATATGTAAGACTGGAAAAGCTATGTTTTGATTTTGTTTAATTTTGCTTGATTTTTACTGATTGCTAAGATTAATGTCTGCTCATTTGAAATTAGACCTGTGTTTTTCAGGAAGAACTTTAAATGGTTCCAATTGGATATTAGATAGCAAACCCCAGTCTTCTAAAAATGCACCCTTTTTCTGTTTATGATTAACTATTTTTTTCTTTTCTCACTCATCTTTTACCATTTAACTCTTCCCTAGATTTTCTTTACTGCAATACCTGTCATGATTTGAGAGCTGCAAGAAATTTTCTTCCCTATAATTAAGTTGATGCTCCCCTTTCCTTTTTCCTTTTTGATTATGGTTTCAAAAACAAAACAAAACAAAATAAAAACAAAACAGAGAAATCTGTCTGTTGTAAATACAAATCATTCTTCATATTGTAAGTTCTCATGCCACCATGCAAATGCACAGAAACTGGTCATGCATCAATGCATCGAGTCTGAGGCACACATAGGACTAGCCAATTGCTTTGTAAAAGTCCACAAGATCCTGCTTTGACAGTGTACAGAACACATTTACAAATGAAGTCCTTTATCATTCTAGACTTTTTCTTAAATATTTTTAGCTTATGCAATAGCATCTGGTTTAAAACAGGAAGCAGGCTTATAGCTAAATGACTTTTGCACATAAATATTTAAGACTCTATATACTGAAATGTGACACCACAAGTTATCACTTCCCGGTATGTACCTCTTATGCTCAGTTTTATTTTGGCAGATATAAAATATCACAGAGACATGATAAATGTAAAGTCATTTTCTAAAAACAAATTAAATTCTAATATCACTTAGGAATATTATAGTCTATATGTAATACTTCTGTTTTGATTGAACTGCTGTTGTTTAGGGTTGGAAGCTATTTCAAAAGCTAATCTGCTGTATATTTACTTAAAGCTTGACCTAATCTGCTCCCTCTTCAAACAGTGCGAGTTTTGCTGTAGAATTCAACTGATCATTTTTATTTCAGGGATGCCTGAAAGATCCCATTTTGGTCTTGGTATTTGCTAGTAAACATTTTTCTTTCATGTGATATTTACAAGCTTTAGGAAATACATTAAACAAAATGTCTTGTCAATTCTTTCTGGAGTGCTGGATAAAAATTTCTCAGATGTTAGAGAGGAAGAATTATAGCATATAGGTAAATGATTAGACAGATGGTTTGCCATATTATTTTTTTTTAATATCC